AGACCAAAGTGAAATCAAAACTGGCTTCATGTCCACAAAATGCTTCACAAAAGAATGCTGGGTGGAGGCAGGTGAGGTGAAGGGGTGGAGGGGAGCGAGGCCAAGGCTGTGAGACCTCCACTAAGCACCACACCCATCCAGGGAGGGCCTTGTCCTCCACTCTTCTCCTCTCCTCCCCTACATTATGTAGGTGAAGGGGGTGGAGGGGAGCGAGGCCAAGGCTGTGAGACCTCCACTAAAAAMCACACCCATCCAGGGAGGGCCTGCTCCTGCACTCTTCTCCTCTCCTCATATAAGCTAATGCTACTTGGGGTGCCATGGCAAGGAAAGGTTTTGAAACCCTTGGATTAGATCTTTTTTTTTGGCCACTTAAAAAACTCAACTTTAAGCCTAATGATATGATCTTTCTCTCAAATTCATCAGGAATTTTTTTTTTGGAAATCATTTAGGACAAGTTGCTGAGAAGAAATATGTTGAGTTGATTAGATAATAAGATAATTTTGCTCAATTTTGGTATTATTTATTTACAGTGTTTTACTTATTTACATGAATGTGGCCTTTTCTTTTACTTTAAATGTAAAAATAATAATAAATGCTAAAATTCCATTTGTGTTTTTACTTTTATAATGTCACTCCCCACTGGCCGTAAAGGCCCGCCTTTAACAAACTCAAAGTGGCCCACGGGCCACCAGTTGATAATCACAGTTGTAGCACATTTCACTGCTCTGTACACATTTTATTAGTGAACCAAGGAGCAGAAATGGCTCTCTTGATTGTAAAGGTTGCAGACCCCTGATTTGGTGTGTACAATTTTTCTAAACAAACCAGTCTCTCACTTTATATCTTTTTTTTTTATCTCTTYCTGTGTTCTTCATCAGATGAACGACATCATGCTGTACACCTACCCTCAGCAGGATGGGAAATACAGACTAAAGAACACCCTGTCTTTGTCAGGGATGAAGGTGGTGACTCCTCTGAAYGATCTCAAATATTAACCACACAACTTTTACATTTTATTTTAAAYGTTTCAGTTATTGACTTGTTGGCTTTTTGGCCTAATCTGTGATGTCTTTTTGTACTTCGCACACAGGTGAGCAAACCGATCCTGGACAACGTTCTGAACTGTCTCAAGATTGAGGTGTCTGACATCACCATCACCCTGTCTGCCAGGTGGGAAACAAAACAAGCAACCCAAACTGTGAAATAAAATCAGAACCCACCTTCTGATGCTTTCAAACAGCTGTGAATGTGAYGTCTGAAAGGTTTCGAATGGATCATTTGGGTTGATGTTTGCGTTTCTCCTCAGTTCCGTAGGAGAACGGGAGGACTGGTTCCACACCTTAAGTCGAGCCATCGCGGACCACGCTGCCGGTCTCTGCACATTTGGTGGACCCTGCAGTGAGGTAGGAAAAAAATCTTGATTGCTTTTTAAATATCAACCGAAAAAACAAAAAACAAAATTGACCTTAATATCTATAATCAGTAGCATCACAGAAACAGTTCATTCGGACACGCTCATTATTCTGTTTATGACATTTTACCATCCCTTCAATGTTTTCCCATCAGGCCCGAGAGAAGCTGTGGATGGCCCTGGGTGAAGCTGCTCCAGAGCTGGTGCCAGTTTCTCAAGTGATGATGTGCATGAACTGCACCGCTGACTTCAGCCTCACGCTCAGACGACACCACTGTAACGCCTGTGGAAAGGTCAGACACTCCTCAGGCTCACGACTGGCTTCGTTTGAAAAACTCAAGAGGCTGCTAACGTTACCTTACTTTACTTTCATCTGCTTTTCCTTGTCGTGGATCCTGCCAGGCTTTGGATCCGCATGTCTTAAAGCTTTTACATAAATGCATTTTGCCTCTCTGAGCAGGTGGTGTGTCGAGCTTGCTCCAGGAACAGATACCCTTTGAAGTACCTCAAAGACAGAGTGGCTAAAGTGTGTGATCACTGCTCTGCTGAGCTCAGGAAAAGAGGTGAAAGCTCTTTTTTATATGTAAAAAGCCCGTGTTCTATTATAACTCAGCAACGTTCAGGTAAAAAAAAGTCATTTCGTTGCCACAGTAAGATTTCTGTCTGTCTGCAGGTGGCAGCATATCAGGAGCATGTGGTAACGCTAGCCCTCGGTCTCACCGGGCCAGCCGTCCCCTCTCCGCTGTCTTTCAAAGCCTGCAACCCCCCAGTTTGTGGAAGTCCAGAAAGAGCACCTCCAACCTCAGCCAGGTGGGATTCACGTCTGGCAACCGCTTCTCTGTTCAACCTCCAACATGTGTGCTCTAATTTTAGAAAGGCATTTCACGGACACGGTTTAGATCAGGTTACATTCTTGCTTCAGTAAATCTGGCCTAGGTGGTAATCCCATTTATTTTATTTTTTCTATTACATGAGTATTACAGCAGCTGTCATTAGTGAGACTGCTCCGTGCAGTAGTAATTTCTGTTTAGTGTGGGGCTGAGAGAAAACGTGATGTTCCCTGACCGGGAATCGAACCCGGGCCGCGGCGGTGAGAGCGCCGAATCCTAACCACTAGACCACCAGGGATCTCTGTGGGCTGGTCCAGGCTAGTGCAGTGGTATGCTCAGAATCCTCGACAGCTGCTAGTGGAGTTTGTTCTGCTACTTTCTCATTCTGATAACAACATACTAAGGTTGGGCAGTATTGGTAAAAAAAAATAATTATGATTAATTGGGGTATTTATCTGATGATTAATTTGACGATTAATCCCTTGGAGTCCCTGGATGCCCTTATGTCCTAGTCACATGACCAATTTCGTGGGAAAGATTTGCTCTTCATAAAAATCTGTTCCAAATTCTGTCAAAATTACAGACTTCAGGCTAATCATCAAATTTTAAATTGTGTTGATAGATAAATAAATTATAGAACTGTTTTTTAATGTTCGTCATATTTGAAGCAGAGAGGAGCAGCGAGTGGACCGACTGGAGAAATCGGCAGTCAATCTGGTGACATTAATTGTATTAATCATCAAGTGCCAAAAAATAATMGATTAATGTTTTTCTGATGATTAATTGCACACAATACGACTATGCCCAACCCTACTACATACTGATTGTTTTAGAGTTTTGCTTGTTTTTTTTTTTTTATTATTTCTTGCTTTCTAATTGCCTCCAAATGCCGTCAGGTGTCACTCGGTGTAGATGGCTCCACCATGAGCGGAAGCCTGCAACGCCGGAAGAAGAGCAAACGGAAATGGAAGAGATTGTGGTTCCTCCTCAAAGACAAGGTGCTCTACACCTTCTCAGCCCGTGAGGTGAGGGGGCACAGAGTCTCCCGCACCAGCCCCAAAACACCCACATTTATCTCTCGACCGAGCAAAATGACATTTAACCGCCCACTTTTATTCCTCTTTATATCCAGCTGCACTCCAAACTGCACTCTCCGAGCTTTTTCAGCCTCACGGGCAAATCACTGAATGACTAATAAAGGGATTCTCTGTGCTCTCTTTCTTCTTTTCTTTCCTCTGACAAGCTGTGAGTCGCACTGCTTTGCTCTTATGAAGCTCATTGATACGTGCTGTTTTCCTGTTGCTCCCTAACAGCAGTGCCGACATTTGTCATTTATGACGTGCTTGACCCTTCTCGCTCTCCCCCAGGACAAAGTGGCTTCGGAAAGTCTGCCTCTGCAGGGCTTCACGGTGAAGCTGACKGACAGGTCGGAGGGAGAGGAGACCAGTAACGTGTTTCATTTGTACCACAAGAAAACGCTCTACTACACCTTCAGAGCGGATGATCAACACACCGCACGCAGGTCGGCAACACTGTTTTTAGAGGCATAATGCGATAGGAAAGATTGTATCTCTGGAGGAGCTGGAAGTTTTAGTTTGATGTAAAAATCAGTTCACGTCATCTTAACAGGATCCTAACTGTTAGACCAACTGGATGAGGAAGTTTTTCCAATAACACAAGACAAGAAGCAAGACTAATCTGTTAAAGGGATCCCTGATTAGTTGTAACATTAGACTTTATTTGATAAAAATATATTTTAACTCTAAAATAAAGACTGTAAAAATACTGTAGGATGTTTAGTTTTGTAAATTTTTAAAAATATATTTTAACACGGATAGAGCTGTTTTATTTGCATGCAAAGCATTCTGGGTAAATGATGATGTGGATAGGTGTGAGCGAGTTATATCCACCCTGAAAGTTAATCTTGGACAATRTCTGATGATCGACTCTTTTAAATGAAACCAGAGAGCGTWKACAGAGAGGAGAAGGTAGAAATGACTCAGCCTGGAACTGAAAATATGGATGGAGGACAACAGAGCTGCTTCATGGAAGAAGAACCTCAGCTTAGCCTGTTATGGTGCGTTCACACCGAACGCGATTTCAGCGTCAGGAGCAGCAGGTTTACATACAAAGTCTATGGTGGACGCGCTTCAAGCAACGTCGGGAAGTGCTGCGGCGCCTCAAGCGCGATTAGAGCAGCGCGATTTGAACGATTTGAACGATCTGAGCGTTCGACGCGCTGAGGCGCAAATCGCTGAAGTTAGAAAATCTGAACTTTTGCAGCTCGACGCGCCGCGTCAACCAATCAGAGAGACTCCACTGTGTGACGTAGCGACAGATTTCCCGATGGGACAGTTTACTGAATGATGTCCACTAACCTGAAACAGATGGAGAGGAGCTCTTTAGCTGAAATGAGTGCCTGCAGTCTGTGTCCTGATCTGCAGCAATGCGTGGCAGCGGCTCATCAGACTGGAAAAATAGTCCTGAAAGCGAGCTGTGAGCCTCTWCTCTGAATTATCTGGTGAATTAATTATGAATTAATTATCTGATGAATGTGACATGCTCTTGCTCTCTGTAAATAAAGCAAAGCCACTTCCTCGTCCGACATTAAACAGAGCCCGACAGAGGAGGGAGGGGCGGGGAGGCTGTTGCCGTGCAGCGCTTCAAGAGCTGACCTGCGTCTGACCTCAAAGTGCACAAGCTTCAAACTTCAGCGTTAGCTGCGATTTTGAAGCTGAAATCGCGTTCGGTGTGAACGCAGCATTAGCCTTCGCACTAGCCCCGATGCTATATTGCCTTATTTGTATTAGCTCAGCGCTAGGCTAGCGCGACAAACAAGCTAAACTGAGGTCCTCCATCTATATTTTCAGTTGCAGGCTGAGTCATTTTTGTGTTCCCCTCTCTGTCATGTGGATGGAGGACCTCAGTGACAAGAGGAGAATGTGTAGCACTGAGCTAATACATATATATGGTGATAGCGTCGGGGCTAACGCTAAAGCGAACAAGCTAAGCTGAGGTTCTTCTTCCATGAAGCAGCTCTGTTGTCCTCCATCTATATTTTCAGTCACAGGCTGAGTCATTTCTACCTTCTCCTCTCTGTCAACACTCTCTGGTTTCATTTAAAAGAGTCGATCATCAGACATTGTCCAAGATTAACCTTCAGGGTGGATATAGCTCACTAGCAGCCTCGCACCAATGACCTATCTATGTCATCATTTACCCAGAATGCTTTGCATGTAAATAAAATGGCCCTGTCCGCATGATATATTTTTAAACTTTTAGTTTAAAAATGATAAAAACTAAACAGCCTACAGTATTTTTACAGTCTTCATTTTACAGTTAAAATAAATGTTTATCAAATAAAGTCTAATGATACAGCTAATCATGGATCCCTTTAAACTCTAATAAGAGATTATCAGCTTTTTCAGTCCCTGCACAGAAAAATGTGTGACTAAAAAACACTGACATGAGCATACAAGTGTTTCATTAGGCTCTTTCAGAAGACAGAACCACTAAACAAGCAAAGACACATACGGAGACGCTCTCTCACCGCGCTCAAACACGCTTTCAGAAAACATTAGTCAGTGCAGGATTAAAAGAGGCGTGGACAAAAACACAGCTGCTCTGACGTGCTGCTGTCACTCAAGCTGCTGCAGAGTCGCTCAACTCTTGTCCCTCATTATATTGCAGAGAACAAATCCGATCATGTACGTCTTTTAAAGTTTTAAGTTTCAAAGCAATCTGAGTCTCATGGTTGTGTCCATGTGATGGATAATTTTAGCTGGTATTTGTGCCAATAAAGTTTATTTCCTCCTCTGCATGTATATGAAGTGGAACTCGTGGGGCTTGAAAAAAATGGCACCGTAATCTGGTGTTTGATTTAAGAAATCAGCAGCTGGTTGGTTCGTGAAGGTGAAGAACTACGCCGGCCCACCTTCTCAGGAGTCGGCTGTTTTGTGTCTGTCACTACCTCGCTTCGAGATTAAGAGACGTGACAGACGTGGGTATTTCTGTCCCCCCACTCCGCTTCCACAAATCTTCTGAATAAGCCGAGGGGGTCAGAACACGTGTCRGTAACGGTACGGGTCGTCTTCTGAATGAGCCTCTTGTCTGTTTTTCTGTCTTGGGCCACAGCCCAGTAAGATTAATGTCATGTAAATATCCAAGTTGAGCAAACATACCTGTTATTTTTTGTTTGTTTGTTTGCTCCAATAATTTGCTTTACATGCTCTAGAAACACCTCCATCTTTTCCAGACCTAAAGCTCATTTATAATGGACTGAGGTGTGGTAATGAACAGATGAGTTAAAACTTTAAATCCTCTTTGATGGTCGCATCCTTCGTACCAAAAAAGAGAGAGAGCATCCAGCCTGTTATCAACAGTTTAAAWGCCTGCCTCTCTGATGGTATGGGAGTGCATTAGTGCCTACACATCTGAAGACAGCCATCAATGTAGAAAAGTATATGCTCCCATCTAGATGTCTTTTTCTTGCAAGGCCTATTTTTTTTTAGGATTTCATTAGCTTGTGTTGTCCCACAGTGGGGAAATTAATTCTCTGCATTTAACCCATGGCACATGTGAACACACGTGGAGCAGTGGGCTGCCAATTACAGCGCCCAGGGAGCAGCTGAGGGGTTAAGGGCTGTGCTCAAGGGCCGAAGGTGGGGCGGGAGTTKAACCGTTCACAGACTTATCTTCTGTAACCTCTGCACCACCATCTTAAAAGAGAAGTTCCCTGACCGGGAATCGAACCCGGGCCGCGGCGGTGAGAGCGCCGAATCCTAACCACTAGACCACCAGGGACTGCAAACAGCTGATCACAGTCARATAAGATGCATCAAGAAACAAATCAAAATAATAAAAGATTTACAACTGTTGAACAGTTAGAATCCTACATAAGACAGGAATGGGACATTTTCCACTAAAACCTCCAGATGTTTTACAAACTGTTGTTAAAAGAAGACAGGATGCTTTGTGTTTCAATGTGTTTGTGTTGCTGCCTTAAATTTCAAAATAACCTTATTGTTCTAAAACAATTTCTCAGCTTACATTTGATATGTTTACTGTGTTCTGTTGAGAATAAACACAGATTTATGAGACGTGCAATTCTTTGCATTCTGCTTATCTTTTCATTCTACAAAGCGTGCTAACCTTTTGAGAATTGGGTCTGTGGCGCATCAAKGGTGCATTTTTGGCAGAATTTACATACTTACCTACATTTTAAACAGACTAGTAGTAATATATTTTTTATAATTGTGTATCAGACAAAGAGAAAGATGTTTTTTTAAAGTTCTGTTTACATCTCTGTGTTTCAGATGGGTGAACGCCATGGAAGAGGCTACAGTTTTATAGCACCTGCTTGGTTCAGTGAACAAGGTCTGCTGTCTGCGGCTACTAGAACTCCTCTGAGGAGCACAACCAAACTACCTGCTTCCACTGAACACAGGAACAAAATCACCACATCCTTCCTGTACAGGCAAATCACATGACATTCAAACCACCAGTGAATTTTAGACAACACTGCCACCCCGAGGCAGCTGAAAGAATGAACCACACACTGAAGTTCACAAGAGCCTTCACTTTTCAGGAGCAACGTCAGACATCTGTGAGCCTGAAACAGATGTTCATTTTCTCCGTTTCTCCTTTTTTATTTGCTTTTGTTTTCAAATCTCTTACTGCTAAAGTCCACTGTACAGCTGCTTGAACTTTATTACACTCTTAGGTGAGAGATTTATTCAAAATGGCACCAAATGTGTGATCAACAAATGAAAATAAGGTGTAACAAACGTGCTCACAAATATGTGCGTGGCATATTTGTAACATTAAAGTGATCATTTTTATCTTTTTAGGAGTGGATCTGTGGAAAGGGCATGAACAGGTAATATCTTACCTTCTAGATCGCTCTTTGAACAATCTTCAAATTAAATTCTAGCTGGATTGATGAGCTAACGGCTAGTTTGAGTTGGGCAAAGACCAAAGTGAAACTGTTAACCTTTAAAAACACATTGTTGTCAATTTGCATTATTCAGATATTGTTGCAAAAATATAATATTCATGTTAAAAATGCCCCAGGCTGGCTGCTGCTGTCACTACTGACACTTGTATAGAAGTTCATGGTGAGCTGTATTTAATTGAGAAATGTGAAACTGAAAATTATGTATTAATCATTCAGAACTTCTTTCCTTTGGAAGCCATGCGGACCCGGTTTATGGAAGTAGCCATGTTGTATTTTTGGAACCAGATTCTGTGCAYTACAGGAACGTTACATCCTGACTGCTCCCCCGCACAGTTATGAGGTCATGTGTCCTTTCTTTAAAGCATGAAATGACTAATTACAGTTAAACATATTTAAAATTTATCTTAAAACAAATCTTTTTGAATCAAAAGGACTCAACATCTCAAAGAAATTGTGAGTATACATACATACATACATATATATATATATATAT